AATAGGAAACAGCTCATGTTGCTCCTCAACTGTCCAAACCCACCAAAGCAACTACAACCCGGATCCTATTGGTATGATAAATCATCTGGATTTTGGGGAAAGGTGAAAAATTAACCTCAGCAAGTACTTATTATTATCTATTTAATCTCAACCTCTCCATGGACACACCTCTAGGATTAGTTTAGCATGTCTTAGACAATGGAGCTACCACATGCTACAATATTAGAGAAATATAAAACTATTAATATAACTGGCTTAATCTTTTAGGTTGAATTGATTTTTTACATAGTATTAGTGACTAAGTGGTGACGAGTTCTCTTGTCACATGGTGGCGACAACTGTTGTGCCCAGGGTCCCTTTCTACATGCCTTATACAATGAGGCTGGAAAATTGGGGAATGAGCCTTCAATGATAATTTCACATAAAAATCTCATTCATGAATCTTTCACCTCATTTAATGTGTTTTTCAGAATGAAGCTCTAATCTGCTGTTTTGCTTGATTATACAGGAAGGTCAACCTCCTTGTGAAATCATAACCCCCCAATTGGATGTTGGGGGTCGGTTGAAGGAAAATGCAAGCAATGGAAACACAAAAGTGACCATAAATGGTCGCGAGATTACAAAGAAAGAGCTGTGGATACTGAAGGTTGTTGAGCTATGAACACTGTCATATTTTATTGCAAATGGTTTTGTATTAAATGTTACATTACATTGTTTGTTGCAGCTGGCAGGAGTGCCGTGTGTAGGAACTCTCAACTTTTGGGTGAATGCTGATGGGTCATGCCAGGAGGAGGGACAGAAGAATGACAGGGGGCGTATATGGGATAAGGTGATCATTGTTGAGATTCCATTAATTTTTAGTACTCCTATAGTGGGGGCGAATCGGAGCAGTGGTAAAACAGTTCCTTCATGACTGAAAGGTCATAGGTTCAAATTCAGGAAACAGTCTCTTTGCAATTATGTAAGGGTAAGGCTGCGTACAAGGATTTCCTACACCCCACACTTGCTAGTCGTGTTTAAGGACTAACCACGGTGCATAAGACTTCCCAACTTGCGAGGGTAGGAGTTACGGTTGATTATATGCAGTCTTATCTTTGTATTTTTGCAAAGAAACAGTTTCCCATACTCAAATCTGTGACCTTTCGGTCACAAGGAACAACCTTATCGCTCCTCTCGCCCTCTATATAGTACATTACCATACTTACTAAAATTAGAAATACATGGACTTAAGCGAGTGGATGTGTTTTTAATTGTAATGGGTGTAGTATGTGATACAGGAGTATTAAAACGTGTCATCAATTATTATGGGTTTCCCTTTTGCAGAATCGAGCAAAGTTGGCTTGTGCAATTCTGTCTCTGCCAGTTCCTTCAAAGTCTCTGTCTCCTTCTGGGGAAGGCGAAATAGCGAATAAAGTTAATGAAGACAACATTCAACATAAAACACTTCACAAATTTCTACTTGTTGGTTCTGTCAATTCTGGAGCATGTACTATATTCAAACAGGTAGGATACTCCTTGACATAACTCAAATTTTTTTTTTCATGCACTTGTATTGGTATGCATGCATGCTTAATGATCTAGCAAAGAACATGTGATACCAGTAAATTAAATGACGTATGCTGTTATTTTAAATGCTGAAGGATAGCTCAATTCTTTTTCTAACTTTCACCTCTCCATAACTCATTTATAGATCATGTTCATAGCTGTGAAAGTGCAGATGATGGTATTACATCCTCTCCACAAATTTCAGCTCTTAAATTTACTTCTCGTGTCATAATATGGGTTATGTTATGTCCTATCCTATCAATATAGTTTTGGATATAGGAGAACTAAATATGGAGTTGTCCAGCAAGCCTTGTTAGTTTTATTTATGAGTAGAAATGCTTAATTTATGAGTGTGTTCTTGTGTGTAATTTCAATGTTGGCGCATAAGAACTTCAGTTGTGGATTCTTATCAGTCACATTAGTTTTGAGTGCTTAATCTGTATCTTAAAAGTTTCTTCTTGATATAAGTTATAAGTTGTCAAAGTTTGTAGTTTCTTTCCTCTTGTGGTGAATATTTGAGTGCAGGTCTGAATTACTCTTTGTTTTTAATTAGAACCTTGACATTGTGTGACACTAAGAACTGAATCATTTTTCTCAGGCCAAGCTTATATATAATGTTCCTTTCTCCGAAAATGAGCTCCAAAATATCAAGTTGGTGATCCAAAGCAATCTTTTTACCTACCTTGGTATCCTGCTGGAGGGGCGTGAAAATTTCGAAGAAGAGAGTTTGCTGGAGAATAGTAAAAGATGGTCTGTTGATGAATCCACTTCATCTGGTAATTTTTTTCCTCAGATAAAAAAGTTAATCCAGGCCTGTTTCTGTTTGGACTTTGGATGAAATAAGGGGCAGCATTGTTTTGAACACTTTCCCTATTCAAAATTTTCTGGATAGTGTAGACTGTAAAATAGGTTGTCTTATCCATTCAACCTTCCTTTAACAATGTTCAAAACAAGAGCAGGAATATTGTCAACTTTTCTATGATTTTCCTCCTTTTTTCAACTACAAAACAGTTAATCTATGTTTTTTTAGTCCCTTGCAAACTGCAATGGATGCAGGGCTTTCCTTTTTCTATGATATGTAGTTTATATGATTTTGTATTGGTGGAGGACTGATGCTTTTGACACTTCCATTACCTTCATGACTTTGTTGGGGCCTTTGTATACTGTGATTTTGATTCTTTTAAACAAAAATCTTACCTTTAGTTTTGTCATTATTTTTTCACATTGCTCCTAAAAGACGGTAGACCCTTGTTAATTAGCTGATAGAAGAAGCTTGTCTGCCATTACATGCAAATTTATGTATGTTATGGAGAGAAAGTAATTAATTTTAGTTCTCAGCAGGGAATACCAGTGATAGTGTTGCTTCAACACTCTATTCCATTGGCCCACGACTGAGAGATTTCTCAGATTGGCTACTTAAATACATGGGGTCAGGTAACCTGGATGCAATATTTCCAGCTGCTACACGTGAATATGGGCCACTTGTGGAGGATTTGTGGAGGGATGAGGCCATTCAGGCCACATACAACAGGAGAAATGAACTCAAATTGCTACCTAGAAGTGCAAACTATTTTCTAGACCGGGTAAGACAATACTTGATTGTCCATGTAATCATCATGACATGATTATCCAAATCATTCATACTCACTTGTTTATATTAATGAAGCCAATTTGATTATTGAATTTATAATTTGTTTTCCTATTCTTTGTTCCTTCTGTTTGGGCATGGAGTTTGGATCATTAATTATTTGACACAAAATCAGAAGCCGAAATCAAACAATAAATTGACAAGCACAGGATTTGAATAAGGCTTTATCACTGTATCAGTGCTGTTACAGTCTTATTCTTTTCTTTTTCTCTTTTAACCCCTTTTGGACGCCTTGTGTTTAAACAAGGCATGGAGACTATCTAAATCACTTCAGTGGGAATTTGGTGCTGAGATTTTAAGAATCTGGGCAGTACAAAAAATCTTTAAACTAGTTTAATTCATGATTTTTCAACGAACAATTTATTGTCTCAACAATACATGACTAAATCCTTTAGATTATCAAATTATTTGGCCATGAATGTGGCAGGTGCATCACATCAATAAACACTAGCTTTTCATCGATATCTAACTATGTCTCTGAATGCAGGCTATCGAAATTTCCAAGATGGACTATAAACCTTCTGATATGGACATCTTGTATGCTGAGGGGATATCATTATCCAACAGCCTCACTTCAATGGAATATTCATTTCCCAAGTCAAGCAGTGAGGATTCTTTGTACCCTGAATATCAACATGAATCTTCTCTCAGGTCAGCTCTGTCATTTCATGCAGTTTATCATAGAAGAACTTGTTACTTTTTGAATTGAGCTAACATCCAGTGAGCTTCCACTAATAATTCTCATTCATGGTGATGCGCTAAAGCTTATTTTTGTTCCAAAATGAAAGCTAGCTGATACCACTCAAGTCTAGACTTGATAATAGAACAATTTGGCAAGAGTAGTGTGCAAGCATGTTTTGTTATAGATCACCTACACATGCACACATTTTCAATATTCACCATTTTATTCAATCATTATACATCTTTAGAACCCCACACTCGCTAGTCGGGTTTAAAGGGAAGTGTTTTTTATACATCTTTAGAAAAGAATATTCAATAAAAAGGCCTCACAATGTCATGATAACACAGTATGAATAAGGCTGAGCTCATGCTATCAGTTGTCAATTGTTTTCTTACCACACTTTGTGTTCTACTTATAGATACCAACTGATCAGAGTACATCCTAAAAGCCTTGGAGAAAACTGCAAGTGGTTGGAGATGTTTGAAGACACCAATGTTGTATTGTTCTCTGTGGCCTTAACTGACTATGATGAGTACACTGTAGACAGTAAAGGAATTGCTACCAACAAAATGTTGGCAGCTAAGCATCTCTTCGAAAACATCATTGCTCATCCATCCTTCAAAAACAAGAAATTTCTTTTAATACTGACCAAATTTGATCTACTTGAAGAAAAGATTGATCTGGCTCCTCTGAAACTATGTGAATGGTTTTGTGATTTCAATCCAGTTATCAGTCACAATCACAACAGAGCTAGTAACCCTAACAATAACAATAACAATAACAATAGCAATAGCCCTCCATTAGCTCAACGTGCTTTTCAATATATTGCTATGAAGTTTAAGAGATTGTTCCATTCTCTTACTGGCAGAAAGCTCTTTGTTTCATTGGTTACTGGATTGGAACCTGATACTATTGATGAAGCTCTCAGATATGCTAGGGAGGTTATGGTGTGGGAAGAATGGGATCCCTCTTTTGTAAATGAGAAGTTCGAGACAACTTCAACTAGCATTGAGGCAAGTTCCTCATAAAGTTTCCTCCAAAATATTTGTACAAAGGCTGTTTCTGGATAGACATTGTTCTATAAAGGGCTTAGAAGAGTTCATGGATTCTCATAAGGGTTATCTTTGGTTATATCTAATGATGGGTGAAATGGAATGTGATAGAATGGGAAAAAGAAAAAGAAAATACCATACCATACCATTGTTTGGATATTTTATAATGCGATGGAGGGAAGTTTCTATTTTATTATTTGGGAAGTGAATGAAGTAATAAAGAGGCTAGTAAGTAATTAGTTAATTCTATCTCATACCCCACAAATCCGAGAAAAAAGAATGGAGTGAAATAGATTCTGTTATGTTCCATTTCATTCAACACCATCCATTTCATTCCACACCATCCATTCATTTGGTATTTGGATTAGAGCTTTTTATTCTATGTATACACATGTACTTGAACACTACCAAACATAAAGGGGCAAGAGTTTGCCATTTTGTCATCTTTAATATGAAATGGAGATAAATTTTTCTTCTATTTTTCTGACAAGCTGAAAGTATGGTTCACACGTTTGCAAAAATATCCATGCAGTATAAAAGAATTTGCTTCGTTCTTTCCTTTATTATGATACAAAATGGTCAATTAAGTCATTGTCTTGTCTACATATAGATGTGATAGCCATTTAGTCACGTATGCCGAACATGATATTTTTAAGGGTTGTAAAATATCTAGATTATAGAACACTTTACCACTGATATTTAGCAAGTTCAAAACTTCTAAGCTAAGAAGCATTGGATCCTTGGGGTGATCCTGTGAGCATGAGTGTATTGGCTGTGTAATATCAGACTTAAATGGAATTGGCTCTTTCAAAATAAGGGCCGTATTTTTAGAAGAAAAAGTATGGAGTTATAATAATAATAAAAAATTAAGAAAGCAATTTTAATAACTTCTCAATTTATATATATATATATATATATATATATATATATATATATATATATATATATATATATAACCACAATTTCAGGCATTAATTTCTCAATCAACGATTATAATGTCATACTTTTCTTTCTAAAGTGCACTATTATTGAAACTATACTTTTGTTGTGCGGGTGCAAATCATAGAATGTGTATGATGGAATTATAAACTTTAGCACTTACTAATTTTATAGAAATACAAATAAAAAGTTATATAACATAACTTCAAACTTACAAGATTTTTATTATAATTTTACTAGTCCTTCAGAATAAGGGAGCTAAAAAAAAGCCTCTCCCTTAGAAAAGAAGATGCCTTGCACTCTAGAATGAAATCACTTGACATACATCTTAAAGAAGTTCATAAATCTAACGCTATATGCTAATCCCAAACTTTGAAAAGAGACCACTTTTTGCAACCTAATAAGCATATCAACAAGGCACAAATCTATCCATAAGCAAACACACTGTTGCCTCTGACTCTGACATGGTTGCAATGTCTTTTTGAGCTTCCTTTTTCTCTGCTTGTTTGTCTTCTGATCCCTTTTTGCCTTTGGAAAAGGTGCTCTTGTGGGTCATGACTTTCTCTGTGAGCTTTGCCATCTCCCCTATCCATAACCCTACCATTGTAGACATTTTTCTTAGCACTAAAGTAAGAAGCTTTCTCTTGTTTTTTTGAGCTTATTGTTTTGTTTCAAATGATGGTTGAAGCAAAACTAGTCTGGTTTATATAGAAACTTGAAAGGTTAATGGGCCTTGAGGTTTTGTGAGAATGTGTGAGTTATATAGAAGGGATATTTTGATGTACCTTGCATACAGTGGCACATAGGAAGGAACGCCAGTGGGATATTCTCACAGTTTGGGATATTCCTTGGAAGATTTCTATTGGCTGCTTAGTGCTACGTCTCATGAGTGGTCCATATTCATTTTCACAGTTTTCTCTTTTGGTTACCTTGATTTGACCACAGCGTGCTATGTATTGCTTATACTTCGTATTTGATGAGGATTCTGGTTGACGGGGATCTGACATGGTTGCAATGTCTTAAAAAGCTAAAAAGATGATTGAAGGTACCCCTGACTCCCTCTCCAATCTGAGTTTGCTAACCAGATACTTCAATAGCAACTGAACGGTCATCATTCCATCTCTGAAAAATTCCAAAGTCAAAAAAGAAATGATGAGTTTGCAACTCCAAATCATTCACAAAGTGGGTAGTAGATGGATCTAGTTGGTGTGCAATCTTGAACATGTTTGCCCTTATATCCTTACCTAATCTATCTTGATAAAATGAACCATGCAACATTTCATTATTAACATGCGTATATCAGGGCATTGGTTAAGTTTTTAAATTTTTCTATAAGCATTGTAGACATACATTTCTATACTGAGATGCCATATAAGCATCGGGTAATGTGAACAGGTTGTATTTTGTAGACCCAACGAACTCTTCTCCAAGCCAGTTTGGAATCTGCATTCCAATAATATGTACAAAAAAATATATGAACAAATAAAGCTAGTAAGCAGAAATTTGAACAGAAAAAATAGACCTTATTAAAAGCCTAAGAAAAATGCCATATTTATAGCGATCTAAAAGAATGGTTAAAAAATCTGTTATTAGATTTTGAAGATAAACTCAAGTGCTTGCTTGAAAAGCACCAAATATATTAATTTTGCAGAACTTTTTGAGTTTACTCATTTCATCACTTAAAGCCTAATCATGCAGTTAAACTTCTATATCTTTTTCTCTACTATATTAATCACACCTTATCAATAACATCTAGGTAATACACAACGCCTTGAGTTTTAAAATTTAATAATCAAAACAGTAGTATAATTTAATGGAAAATAATACCAAAAAAGTAAAATAAATTTAGTTAGACTAATAAAGAAGCTCAGGCAAATGTCATACGCCTACAAGTAAGATCCATCATAATTAATAAAATCCAGCCTTACAAAACTATGTGAAAATAAGTCACAATGAATCTATTATCTATATACCACAACAATGTTACACATTTCATTCCATTATATTTGATCGGTGAAAGTCAGTGCTAAATTGTACATTATTTAAAATCAAGTTAGTGTAAGCAACAAATAAAAAAATAACAATAGTGAGATCAGAATAATATGAGAGAAAACAATTCCTTATGCACCATAAACGGAGTGGAATAATAAACACCATGAAAAATATAAGCACTGTTATCTGAAAAAAATATAAGCAATACGTTTCACCCAAAGAATTAATTTTATATAGATTACAATTTTGGGCCTAATTATGTAGAAATCATTTTTAATTAAAAATATACGTGCATCAAATTTTAAGGAACGGATTGCATAGTATACACACCATGAAAATAAAATAAGGAAAAGGTAATTTACCAGCCAACAGAGTAGTTTCGCCTGTTGATGCAATCACTGAATCTTTTAATGAAAGCACTTATGGAAATGTAAGCTTATAATAATTAACATGTAAATAGATTAAAGTTTCTTCCTTGGGAGAATCATTTATGGAAATAGATTGTTTAAAATACAAACACAATCGAGTTAGACAATTAAAATAATAATAATAATTGTTACTTCTGATATACGGAAAAGTTTGCTGAAATAAATGTAGAGACCAGAAAGGTCTCATTTAATATACTTGGAAGTGAGATTGACCTATGATAAATAACAAGTACGTTTGAAAATTATTTCACCATGGGGATCTGTATCAAGAGGAACGATTTGTGTACATAAATATAAATACAGTATGATGAACATATAACTAACTTGGTATATTCATTTGTTAATCTATTATTAGTTAGTAAGTTATATGGTTCCAAAGATCTTATTATGGCTTGTTCCCTATGTGTGTGAGAGAGAAAGAAAGAGTACATACCCCAAGAAGAGCAGTAAGAGCATCTCGCTATTCCCCTTTTATAGAATGACAGATATCAATGTTCTCCCCTGTTTTCTTTAGTGCTGCAGCTACACTTTCTAAAATTCCAAGACCTAATTGAGGTTTGGCTGTCGTAACCCATTCACTATGGTTATTCTTAGACTTAAGATTATTTGTCCTTCATGGCCACTGTAATATCATGTTTTGTGGCTTCCTCCTCTCGATGTTGATTAAGTATCTCCTCTGCCACTTTCTTTTCCATATCAATGTCTAATCCAGGCACTACATTTAGTGACACGCTTAAATGATATGGATCTTCTACTATGAGTCAACCTCTCTCGCCACATACATAAGCTACAAGATGGCATTAAGGAAATTCTTAGAAACTTTACTTAAGATGTACTTGCATGGACATAAAATGGCTATAGCAGGTACACACACAAATATATGTGTGTGTGTTGTGTAGAATTTATAATAAATATAGCATAGGTCCCACACATGATTGTTAGTAATTATTGTATTTAAACATTATGTCTATGCCTACTATAAAAAAAATGTTATGTCTACAAGGTGAGCCCAATATAGACGCTACTTCAAGGAAAGAATGGTTTTCTCTATGTTTGATGATCATTATTTATGAGTATACGATAATGTATACGTGAGCTTTGACTGGTTATTGTATACAAACAACCATCATTATCATGGACATGTATATACCAACCTATTGATACGTGGACAAGAACCTTTAGTTTAATGCATTTTTTGCTGAAGCTCAAAACATGCTCAACTCCAAACATATTTATACCAAAAGCAACATAGTATCTGTATTTAATAACCAAACAAGAAGATAAAAAAAATAAACAACTTTAATTTTTAATCATGGAAAAATTTATTTATAACTCTGAAATAACACACACACACATAATGGATATATTAAACATTATAAAAAGAAAGCAAGGAAACATAGCACTGACATCAAGAAAGTGGGTTCAGTTTAGAGATTACATGGCCTGGCGATCTACCTATGAATTATAAGAACTTATAATAGCTTGTATCATAACCCAAGTAATTAAGGAGAGATAAATTTCAGTCATTCCCAAGGAAAATCATTTGGTCCATCATTTTAGATATTCAGTAAGATTAAGAAAATACCTCTCTAACTTTCATTGTAATTGGTGTAAATGAAACTCCTGCTGATCCTCCAGAAAAATTCTATGAGAGAATATCATCACACGCACATCAAATTTTATTTTAACCCCCCTCCCCCCCCAACCCACCAAAAAAAAAAGCAAATCATGTACATTTACATTTCTCAAATAATAACCATATACACCTTTCATCGAACAAGTTATGTACAAAAAAATTGACAACATGAAATAAAGTGCAAAAATAATTGAAACATATGGATCAGGTTATTACCATTAACACCATTGCATGCTACAGAAAAGGTACCAGAACTAACCCCAAATTAGAAGCTTATTGATCTTATAGAGAGACAAAGAAGCAACTGCAAAAGAAAACTGAAGTTACTAAAAATCATAGAGAGCTAAAATTGCAAAGACGTTCAGAGTTTAATCTCATTGTGAGAAGTTGAACAGTTAAAAAAATTTTAATTCTACAAAGTCAAACCCTAATTTTCAGTGAATTTAAATTTAACACAAACACACCTTGTTGAGATTCTTAATTCATAATGGATCCACTCTGCTTTTTCGCTACCACCGCACCTTCAGTCCTCCACCACCACTGATATCAGCATCGCTGCCAATGTCCATCGCAATGGCAGTGGAGAAGATCAGATTCGCTTAATCAAATCCGAGAAACTTCGAGACAACCACACCGTGCGCTTTCAGAAATATGATTTTTGATCAATGTGCAAAATTAAATAAAGAATGGAAGATGACATAAACAGAGAATTGAAGATGATAGCATTAGACAAATAAAGAGAGAGAACATGAATAAGAACAATGGGAGTTACAGACTTATAGAGTAAGATAGCCATCGGTTTGCAAAAAAGATTATAAGGGGAAATGGGATTGTGCGAATGATTTTTGCTACTGCCGTAACACTATATTGCATATTAGGGGATTTTTTTTCCGTAAACCTTTTAAGTGTCGCTAAACCATCGTGCCTAACTAGCGTTTTTCTTGTTTGAAGGGTATAATATCTTTTATGCAAGTTTTTTGAGAAAACCACATGTCCCTTAACATTTTTCTTGGAGTTAATTGAATTTTGGATGAATTGCTATTCCCATTTTCTGTTAGATTGAGCACTTACCAGTTACCACTGCGCGTTAACCGACCGAGTCGAGTCGAACTTTGGTTTTAAAAGATTAAGTCTGTGTTTAAATGTGTTAGCCTGACTAAGCCTGTTACATATCATAAATATAATTATCGGCCCGTGGCCTGACTTATTTATAAAAAATAAAAGCTTGATTTAGCCTGTTAGTCTGTTTAAAAAAAATTAAGATAACAAAAATTTATCCAAACAGAATATACAATCAACAACATCAGTAATTCCATAAATATTCATAAATTCAATGTATATCCAAACAGCATAATATAGAACAAAATTATTTAAAAAGTCTGTTTAACTAATAAAACAGAGTGAAATGGATTAAGGAGAAAGAGAGAGCTATTACAAGTAGTATAAAAAATATTAAAAAAAAATTAATATACTAGATCAGCCTTTAAGGCCGAGCTTTTGAATTGAGGCCTGAGGTCTTTGTATTAAACAAACTTTTATATAAGTTCAAGCCTTCTGCCAATAACCAATTTTAAACATGTAAGCTCAGACCTTCACGAGCCGGAGCCAAAGTCTCGATTCGTTTAGCACGGCTACTTACTACTAGGCCAAAAATTATAGGGTGCAAATCTTTCTAATTACCCTTACCAGCCCAAATGCCATGATTTGATCCGACTTCGACCCGACATTGGTCCTTTGCCAAGCAGGATATTGACCTCTCCAACATTTTAATCTTTTATCAGGATGTTTCTGATTAGGTTTTCTTTTTTTGTTTGTGGAAACATATGCACAGTGCTATAAAAGCCAAATGTTTGGGGTAATCATACAAGCACTATAATTAGCTTCTTGCTCTATATCCTGAAAGCAGCATGTTTGCAATGGCTTCATATATTTAAGATGAAGAAAGGTTGTGCAACAATGCCTGACTCCTGAACAGAAAAAGGTTACCATGGACAAATTTGTAGGACCCATAGCACATGGATTGATACATCCACCCTTCTGGTTCAAATTTATTAGCTCTCGGTCTAGACTTAAACTCTTTAAGCTCCATTCCATTCTATCTTTTTCCATCCTTGCAATTTTCATGCAAATACTAGACTTTCTTAAATTTCATGATGCTTATAAGTTTGACAACTTTGAACATGCAACTATGTTCCTTCACATTGCTTTGTTTTCTGGTTCCACACTCTGAATTGAGTTGACTGATTTACCTTACCTCTTATCTGGGTCTGTCAGTGTATGTTCAAGAGTTTTTCCTACTCCATTTTCACACCACTGACCACTTTGGACATGAAGGCCATTAGCTTATTTCAATTCTCTTTTTCAAGGATGTTGGTTTATAAACATGGAGTTTGTGCTATGGATTCCTGTATTTGTCCCTAAAGGATGTATTATGAATATGGCCAAGGCCAGTGATAATGACATGCCTGGAGCATTTACTTGTGGCTCTTACAAGGCTGCTTTTAGGGCAAGGGAATTGGCCAATTTACAATTTAGTTGGATCTTTTCTCCAATTTTGATATTTGCAGGATTGGTTTGCCTCAAAACGGCTAGAAAATGTACCATTATAAACCGGTTGAGTGAATGATCAATGAAGGTTTCAAGCAACCTAATTCACAGTCTAGTAGTCTACCACTCAGTTAAACAGGCAGGGTGTGTATGCATTTTTAAGGTCTAATGGGTATAAAAGAGAATTGAAATGGTGCAATGCAATGCAATATCCTATAGATTATAAAGTAGTTTATACTAGCCCAGGTTGACAAAGATGCCTTATCCAACTGTAATTGGATTTTGTAACTTGTGACAATATCTTCAGCAAAACTATCAGCTATATATTGCTGGTACCGTTAGTAAGTATCAAGTTCAAGCTACTGGTCTTCTGTGGTAATTTCTTTCAATATTGCAAGAAGCATACTAGTACAAAGATCTCATTGATTACTTTAGGAATTCCCTTAAACTGACCTATTTCAATCAGAGGGTATTCATACTGATATCAAGACTCTTTTTCAATCATAAGAAATGGAAACATTAGAGGGCGAGCCTCGGAACAGCGGTAAGGTTACTTTGCAAAATGTAAGGGTAAGGCACCATACAATTGATCCTCACCCCTACCCTCTCAAGTTGGGGGGCCACTGTGGTTTGCCCTTTGCCCCTTTTAAGAAATGGAAACATATGCATTGTTTCTGCTTCTGATCTCTTGTAAGCAAATTACTTTTCAGTTTTCAGTATTGTAACATAGATGCAAAAATCTTAGCTGTTTCATAATAATTACAAAGCCAATTGAAGTAAATTTCTTATCTAGGATCCATGCCTTTAGCAAACTCTGAATAGGCTAATCCTCAAATCTTCCAAAAGGGTATTATACTATTATGTTCTTTCTTCCATACCAGGTCCGCATTAAACATAGATCCCACCGATTTTTTAAATCAAAAGTAAGACATCATTATGTACAATTCTTTCTCTTCAAATAAAATTTCATATGGTAGCATTCACATACCCAAAAAAAATTTAGTTCCACATCATATCAAGAATTAAAGAAAGATACAACTTGTTTTCTGACAAGGATATATATAGATATATGAATCAACTGACGAAGTTTGTGAAATTCTCACTCAGCTTCTTCCGCAGTTGCTTCAACTCGAAGAAGAACAAATCCTACTGCAACCCCAACAAGAACAAGTCCATTCATGATGGCTGCAATCTGGAAAATCTCACCTGCAGCATTGCATGTTGAAGATGCAGCCCCTCCACCTCTTCCCTTACCCTTTGATGGATATTTCAAGGAACTCACAACCTTTGCAAATGATTGTTCAGTGCACACAGGAATACCTAATGATGTCACATTGTTCTGAGCCTTCAACCCACCAAAAGAATTAAGCCCTCTAATAAAGTGCACATTACTCTTCCTACTCCTTGAGCTGCCAACATTGGAGCTTCCCACAACAGTGATTGTAGATGGAGTTGTTGCTGGGGCTGTGGCCATTATTTTCTGAAATGAGAAGATATAATAGAAAAAAAAAAATGAAGAATTAGACACACTTGATGCTACAGAAGATTGCTTGAATAAACAAGGAAAAGTTATGCAAGTGAAATAATATTGGTGTTAAGTGTTATGAGTAAACCTTTTTCTATATCCTCTGATGTGGTTCTTGAAGTACTGAGGTTACAGGTGGGAAGTGACTTTGTATTTGGATCAAGAGAAACAAAAGGATAAGGTAGCAATGATAATGGATGGTTGACAAGAAAAATATGATAGCTTGTTGATTATGTGGCGCACAACTTTACTTAGATGCTAGCCAAGAAAATAATTGGAAGCCCCCTCATCTTTCTAGTTAAAGTTCACTCATTTGAACCATCTTCATTCACTCATTCAATTAATTTTATTTTATCCCCTAGATCTCCTTAAAATACTTGTTTGTCTAACATCAAATTGTTTTAATAATTAGAGTTTTAAGAGTTGAACATGTGGCTAATTGCATGAGAAAATCAGTGACCAAATTACTTGGATTTTCTTTTCTCAACTTTTTTATTTGGCTGATTTTCCAACCCTACATATAGTATCATCAGAGTACCATATCATTACATTTTTTTTTTTAAGCTAAGAACAAAATAAATTGTGATTGTGAGTGAATTAAAGCAAATATCTTATTTAATTGTGAGTATTGTTCGGGTGAAGGGCGAAAATTATTGTTATACCTTGTGTGACGCTGTATTCATTGTGTCCCATGTTTTTTATTTGTTTGTTTTGGGCCTTGCCCAAATAAATTTGGGTCCAATTTGTTACCTTGTGTAATGTTCTCTTCTCAAAGTTCATGCAAAAAGTATTTTTATTTTTATTTTTGAAAAAAAAACTGCATAAAAAAATAAAAATGGAAAATATAGAAAATAAGTTCCGATTGAAATGTCATAATGAATGGGGATTCAGAGTGTGTTAATTCTTATTAGAAAAATTGCCATTGACTCTAATTTTTAAAGTATAAAAACAGATTGGGGTGGACTTTTGATAACTAATTTTTAAGGTAATGCATCCTTATCATCAAAAAAATTTATCACTTTTACCATCAATTGAATTATTATTGACTTTTTTCAATCTAACGGTTATAATTTATTGAAAATTAATAATATTTATTATGTCACACTTATTAATTAATTATTAATTTTCAATAAATTATAATCGTTAGATTGACGAAAAATCAACGGTGATTAAATTAGTTGTAAGAATAGTAAACTTTTTTTATGATAACTATATCTTGCCCCTAATAATAAAACCCCAAAAGTACTTTAAAACCTTTTATACTTTAAAAATTGGGGCAGAATATACTTATCACAATTTTTTTTACCATTCTTATAATCAATTTAATCACAGTTGATTTTCGTTAATCTAACGATTATAATTTATTGAAAATTAATAATTAATTAATAAGTGTGACACAATAAATGTTATTAATTCTTAATAAATTATAATTATTAAATTGACGAAAATCAATAATGTTTCAATTGATTGTAAAAATGATAAATTTTTTTAGAGTTCACTAATGAGAAATACACAAGTATTCACCCGAATCATTAAGCAAGTCAATTCAAAACTCTAATTCTATCTTTAAAGTTTAAAGTATGACTAAAAAATGCGAGAGTGAAATATTGATTTTTAATTTTTGTGATTCATAGCTAGCCTATTCAATTAGGTCTCCAAATTAATTTTTAGAAGGACATTTTGATTTTTGTAGTTCATTAATTGGTTAAATATAATTAACTAAATTGTTTTTAGTATTGATAACTAAAGAACTTTTATAGTGATAAAGCAATTTCAAAATGATTAATCAATTGTTAGTGATTAAACAAACAATTTATATTATTTATAAATTAATTTCAAATGATTTGCTTCGATTTGATTTCGGGTTTGTTTTATTTTCCCACCCGTATTTTTACTTAACTAGTTTTACAATAATTACTTTGGGACATGAATCAGAGGTGTCTTCGCTACTTCATATTATTCCAAATTTCTTACAAATTTTGCATCTGTTTGTGGTGCCTTCGGAACACGACATCTTGCAACATAAACAAAGGGTAATTTTTTCCCGAAAAACGAGGTTAAAGTATATCATTTGCCACTTGAAATTTCCCGCAATAGCAAATATTGATTGCACAAGTGAAAATTCCATCACTAAAAAGCACAAAATCTAGGAAAAAGGAACATCTATAAAAGCAAAAAGGCATATTGTCAAGACAATAAGAGATACCAAAGCTGAAAAGCACATGAACAATATGGTGTGATAAGAAGTGAAACTGGAAAATGTTTTTGGTGCTAAGCGAGTACCACCGAAGAGTCGCACATTATTTATTAAATATGGTAAAAAAGTAATTTATTTACATTATTTTTATAATTATTTTCACCCCTACTTTAATTTTTTTCCTTTTTCACAAGGGAACTAGTATTCTCGTAGATTAAAAATATACTCGAAAAATTGATATAAAAATTGATGAAATGAATTCCTTTTTTGGTGTTTGTTATGGGCCCATTAAAGTGGTAAGTCCAACCAGAGGCAATCTAAGATATGAATTGATATTAACAAAGGATAAATATTCATCAAGGATACTAATCCTAATATGACAATATAGCAAACAGGCATAGGCCCTCATCAGAGGTACCAAAGGCCCATCCACATTACCCACATGTAACCTCTATAAATACAAGGTAAACACTAAAGGTACGATACACTCTCTTTCTTACTGTTATGTTGTCACTGTGCGCACACACACACATCATTGGCTAACGCCATTACAATATTCTGTGTATAGTGATCTGCTTGACTCAAGGGTATCTCATTCATAGATACCTTGGAGAGGGCACTAGATCCAAGATCGACATACCAGCCTACTGGGCTGGACATCTCTGTCTTAAGGACAGAACATTGGCGTCGTCTGTGGGAAACTTCGTCTTGGAGTTTGAGTTCCCATCAATCTGACAAAGGATGGCAATCAAGACAAATAGCAGTAGCCAGCAACTACCCCAAAACCAGAACCAACCGCTGGATCCAGTCCTGGAGGAGGTAAATCAGCCTTAGAACCAGATCGAAAACAACTTGGATTATGACCATGTCAAGGTCGAGGACGATCTCTCAGACACCGCGTCTACTCCAGCGCGTCGAGATAGAGGGGCAGAGGCGAACATGGCTCCAATATGAAATAATCCTTCCCAGCATCCAGGGGATCTTGCTGCGCGTATTGCTCAATCGGTCGATTCGGATACTCGGTTGGCTAATAATGCATTCGCTGCGATCATGGAACGAATCGCAGAATTGGAAAGTCGTAATAACCTGCAACGACAGCAGGATTTTCGGGCAATACGGGATGAAAATAACAGGAGAATGCGAGACCTGGAGCAGCGCTTACCACAGCTGACTGGACCAGGAGCAACAGAAGTTGGAGGCCAACCAGCCAATTGCTGAGAAGGAGCTCGGAACCTAGTTCTACCAAACCGGGTTCCCCATGTAGAAAGTCATGAAAGGCCCAACCCCGTGAACGCAGCGAACCCGAACCAGGGAAACCAGGCTACTGATGGCCAGAATGCTCAAAACCATTAGGCACGAGCTAACGGCCAGGAGGACCGGGTTAGGACTCATCCTGACTAGAATGCTCAAAACATCCGAGGACGAGTGGAACCCGGCAGATACAAAAGGAAATATAGCAGGGGGCAGTATAACAACAACCTGTTTATTAGGGAGATTTTGAACGCACCTTTCTCTGAGGATTTCGATTCGGCACGACTGCCGAAGTATGATGGGAGTCAAGACCCACAGGTCCACATTGACGTTTTCGATACGGACATGTACATCCGAGGCATAGACGAGCCTCTCATATCTCGGATATTTGCCATAACCCTGACTGGGGCTGCGCAGGCATGGTTCTCTACCTTACCTACCAACTCCATTGGGTCTTTTGAGGAATTCAGAGAGAAGTTCCTCTTAAACTTTGCGACAAGAAAAAAACATCTGAAGTCCGAGTTCTCACTTGGGAAGATACGCCAACAACCTGGAGAAACCCTTCAAGGATATCTCAATCGATTCAAGGATGTCGCATTGCAGGTACCGGGATTGCAAGAAAACGTCCACGTGCATCTCATTGTGTCCGGCTTGGACGGTGCATCCAGGTTTGCCAAGTCAGTCTATAAAGACCCAGTGAAGACATTGGAGGAGTTCAGAACCCGTTCGAAGAAATACCTTGAACTCGAATAGATGGAGATTGCAAATGCACAACCCGAAGAGGGTAAGAGAAATAGCCCGCGAAGGAGAAGTCCGGTCTTGAAGGGAAAAGAACGACTTGACAATAAGAAAAAAGATCCTAGGGCTAGGATTTTTTGAGGAATATGATTCACCAAAGAAACTGGTATTCTTCTCCTTCTCAACTAGTTGCAGAATACACAAGGAGGTTAAACTTTGATTTTGGAAATTATGTAAAACTGAATTGTAATTAATCTAAAAAATAATTGGAAAAAAGTGTATCATTTTAAATGACACACCTTATATCCTTTCACTCCCACAAAGAGGTGGAACCTACACCTTTACAACTTTTCTCTCTCCCATGATTTATCTCTTTCTTTCACTTAAAATAACACAACTTTATGTCCTTAAAATGATACACACTTTCTCCAAAAATATGTTCTTAACGGTGAAATAGATTTGGTGGTGCCTGGTGACCATTCCATTATATTAATTCTCCTACCTTACAGGTCTTAGGCAGAGAGTTTTGTGGTTACTCTTTATTTTGTTCTTACATAGACCTTTATGGAAGTCATTCTATGTTACCAAGTAATTTATATATGCTTATATTATACAGAGTTTTGCAAAGTTTTACACGAATAGCACGCAAAATAGGGATCAAAACGGTAATTGACAACAAAATTAAAAAAATGGTTCAAAATAAAAAAAAATAATTAAAAAAATAATTAAAAAAAATATGGGTCGACACGAACACGAATACCTCAACACAAACACGACACGAATTTTCGTGTTGTGTCGCGGGTCGACCCACGTGTCATAACCTATATTGACACCCCTAGATGCAAAGGTAAAATTGGCATATTGGAAGGGTAACAAATTTAGGTATTCCATAAGTTTCACAATAGCCATAGATATCTTTAGCATCTTATCTCTAGTGTTGCTTCTAAAGTGCTTTTAGAGTTGGAGGAAGAGTTCTTGACCAGTATAGAAGTTCTCTCACACATGATGTAGTGGAGGATTTAATTTGCACTAAAGATCAGTGGTTGTATGG